CGGCAAACGAGGTGCGGCGCGAGCTGGCCCGGAAGCTGCTCTTGCGCGACACCTCGCCGAAAACTGGCTCGCCTGCCGCTGCAGCTCGCGCTGCGCCTCGAGCTCCCGCCGCTCGGCCTCGGCCGCCAGCTTGGCCGCCTTTTTTGCCCGCGCCGCGGCGGCCATGGCGGCCACGCTCGCCGTCGCCGCGATGCGCTCCTCTCTCTGGCGCTCAAACTCCATCTCGGCCAGCGGCCGGATGACAAAGGGGATGTAGTGGCTGACGTGGATGATCCGGCCGCTCAGCGGCATGTCCGGGTGCTTGGCGTCAAAGTCTTCCTCGAGCTCCTTGACGCTCCGGCGGATGTCGTCCAGCGTCTCAAACTCGGACCTCGCGCCGAGGTCGCCGGTCGCCGCCGTGCCGAGGCCGGCGCCCCCGATGCCGTCGGCCATCATCGAGATGCTGCCGTTGCGCGAGGTGGCAGCGGTGGCGGCTTCCTTGCCGTTGGCCAGTCTCGATGGGCCTTGTCGCTGGGATGCGGTGCCGTTGACGGCGGGGGCAGCGGCGGCGGCGGCGGCGGCGTGGTCCGAGGACCCCGCGCCGGCCTTGCCGTCGCTCGTGCTGCTCCTCGCATCCTTGCTGCCATTCGGTGCGTCGGCTCGCTCCGGTTTGGAACCAGAGCCGTTTGGCTGCGCGGCGAAAAAGTCTCGGGCGGGCTTGGCATCGGCCGAGTCTATGGGCGCCGGTGAGGCGACGACGGGCCCGTCCGCGGCGCCACCGAGGAGCTCGCGAGGTGGTCGTGCCGGCGGCTCCTCGGCGTAGACGCCCGGAGTGGGAGGGCCCTGGTTCCTGCTCGATGAGTGCGACATGGTAGGTGGGTGGGCGCGCTGGGGCTACGAGACGGGCTGACGCGGTTTGGGGCTCTATTTTGCAGATGCTGGAGAGGGTGGTCGTTGGGTGGTGCAAGGCGTCTCTGGCTGGGCGATCGCGGGAGAGGTGTGGCCGCTCCTCCCGAAGCAGGCAGCGCGCGGCGGTGGTCTGCGGTGGCTGGCGATGCTGGGTCGCTAGTTTGTGCTGCTCTGCAAAGGCCAGAAGCGGGCTTCCCCGTGGTGAGGAAGCAGCGGTCGGCTCAAGGGGGGGCCTTTCGGTAACCCAGGCGAGGTCGAGGTGCCACAGATCGAGAGCGCCGGGGGGGAGTCGTCGGGTCGATGCGAGCAGACGTGAGAGAAGATGGAGAGATATCGAAGAAGTGGCCGCGGTGACGGTGTGTACGGGGCGGGGGCGCTGGAGAGAAGAGCGATAGCCCGGAGAAGGTGGGAGGACGAGGAAAGGAGTGAAGCCGTTGCTGTCGAGCAAACAGCAGCGTGCCGGGATCGCTGACTCGCTTTGCCCTGCGACCGAGTGCGTCTGTGCGTGTGCGAGTGCGTGTGCGAGTTGCGTGTGCCTGCGGGCGTGAGAGTGTGAGAGAGGAGGGAGAGAAAGAAGGAGAGAGGCGCCGAGATCGCAGGACGAAGGGTGTCGGTGATGGTGGTGGCGGTGGCGACGACGTGCGGTGAGTGAGCGGCTGAGTGATGATGGCCTCGAGAAGGTCGGCGGCGAGCTTTGCCAGGGGCAGCCGGCCAAGTCGATTTTGAAAGAGAGCGAGAGAGATGGAAGCAGGCCCCCACGCACGCACCCGCCCGAAGCCGCTTGCCAAAGGTGACGGCGCAGTGCGTTGCCGGCTGGCCAGGCGTGGCTTGCCTGCTGATTGCGCCTGGGCGAGCGTTCGCAGCGAAGGGTCTGGAAAGGCAGGCGGGCCACGCCAGGCCACGCCCAGAAGGGCAAGCCAAGCCTGCCGACCGAGCCAGCCCCGCCTGCCTGGGCCTCTTGCTTGCCCACGCCAGGCCACGCCAGGCCCCTGCGCTCGCCCAGCTAGCCTGGGCCCGCCCGGCCTCGAAAGCAACGTACGTCGAAGCCAGCCTCTCCTCTTGAGAGTCACGAATCACGGCCACAGCCACGCTCGCACATCGCACAAACGAACGCACGCACGCACGCACGCACACGCACGCGCCAGTTCGGCCAAAGCCAGCAGCTGGCTGGCTGCGCGCTGGTGGGCCCCCCCACCTGCTTGCACTCTTCGACATCATCGACGCAGCGCCGGCACGGCACACGCACGCACGCACGCACGCACGCACGCACGCCGATCCCGTCCGCTTCCCGTCCCCGTCCCTCGCCCCGGCGCACGACCGACGCCCGCTCACACACCCCGCAGCAGCAACGCCTGCCCTGGCCCGCGACGTCGAAAGGGCGCAGGATGATCGGCGCAGCCAATAATGAAACTAGGCCAGGGCCATCGCGCCGAGCAGGCCTCCAGGCTCGCTTCGTCATAGCCAGGCGATGTCCGTTCTCCCTCGAAAAAAAAAGCGTCGGAAGCCTGGCCAACACCTACAGCGCAAAAGATGGGGCAAAAAAGCAAAAAGCGGACCACGCTGCCAGGCAGCGTGCTATTCGACACCTGTGAGATTCGAACTCACGCCATGGAACGTAGCTAGGCTTGAAATCGGCCAGCTGGG